CGGCCGGGGCGGGGCGAGGCGAGGCGAGGCGAGTCACCCACCGCTTTCCTCTGGCGCTGTGCCTCTTTTTGCCACAGACTGGATCTGCAAGCCAAGACACGGAAATTTGGAAGAAAAGGAGAAAAAAAAGTTTGTGCCCCGCCGCCACTACAGAATACCGCTGTTATCTGTCGTGCGAGTAGATTCCAACTTCTCTCCCTCTCTCATGCGGCCGCGCTGCACTCGGCGGTCACGCCTGCTGCTCGTCTGCATCATTCCGCTTGCTCCCTGCCGTGACTCGCTGAAAATCGGGCTACAAAGAACGATCGGGTCCAACAAACATCCGATTTCGATTCGCATCTACACATCACTATGCTTCGAGACTAGAGCTCCTCACGACGAGCCTGGGAGTGGGATCGCTCCTCGAGCGTCTTGCCGCCGCGAGGTCCGTGGATGCTCCTGAGGATGGGCTCGTTTTCGGCGTGCGACTCGACGTGCAGGGCGCGCTTGTCGGCGGCGGCGCGCGGCGGAATGACACGGGCGAGGCCGCCGTGGTAGTGTTCGAGCGCATCGGTGAAGGTGTTGAGCTTGTCGCCCCAGTTGTTGTACCAGCTGTAGTCCGAGCCGTTGTTGAGCTTGTGCGTGATCGTCGCCAGGTCGAGCTGCAGGAACGATGCGATCCACTCGCCGATCCACGTATTCTCGTGCGAGCCCACCACCGAGGCGCGGCGCGCCTGGTATCGCTTGAGCTTCTCGCCACCCTGCTGAGGCTTGGCTTCGTGGTAGTAGAGTCCGACGCTAACACCAGAGTGACCGGTGGTGGACCAGCCCAAGTGAGCGCGCCAGTTGACGATCGACGAGAGCCAGACAGTGTAGGGGATCTGGTTCTTGAGCTTGGCCAGCTCCACGGCGCGATCCACCTCGCCATCCTGCACGTCCATGATGCCAAGCCCCTTGCTCACCACCTCGTCCTTGATGTACGTGCGCAGCTCGGCGTCGGTCTTGTTGGTGGCGAGCCACTTGGCCGTCTGGGCTGCGAGGAACTCGGTCGAGTGCGTCGCGTTGAACAGCACATCCGGATACCAGCCGTAGAACGACTCTTCGTCCTCGCTCCTCTGCAGACCCAGCGTCAATCCTCCGCACTCGTGGTCCGCCACCGAGAAGACCACCGTCTCGGGCTCGTGCGGGTTGTCGGCAGCGTTGGCGTCCACCCACTGCACCACCGCCTCCACCATCTCGTTGTACGCCAGGATGTCGTGGATGTGGCCGATGGGATCGTTGTTGTGCGCAGCGTGGTCGATGCGTGCGCCCTCGATCATAATGAAATACGGCTCGCCCGCGTTGCGCAGGCCGTTGAGCGCGGTGAGCGCCATCTCCTTGAGGCTCGGCTCGGCGGTAGCATTGCGGTCGATCTCGTAGGCCATGTGCGAGGAAGTGAAGAGCGCCATGGAAGGCAGCTTGAGCGCCTGCCCGCCCTGGAGCGCATCGAACTCGCTGCGGTTGTTGACCACGTTGAATCCGTTCTTCTTGGCTTCTTCCACAAGGTTCCTGCCGTCGGTACGAATGCCGGGCTTGGTGGTGTTGGGGAGAAAGTGACGCAGTCCTCCACCCCACAGGATGTCGGCCTGACGACCGAGCATGTAGTCACCGATCTGCTGGCTCGCAATCTCGTCCTCGGCATCGCGGTCATCGATGTGCGCCGAGTAGGAGGCGGGTGTGGCGTGGGTGATCCTCGAGGTGGTCACGAGCGCCGTGTTGTAGCCCTTGGCCTTGGCCCCCTCGAGCACCGTTCCGCACGGCTTCTTGTCCGAGTCGACGCCGATGTAGGCATTGACGCTCTTGAGGCCGCACGAGTAGGCCGTGGCCGAGGCGGCCGAGTCGGTGACGAGCGAGTCGGTCGAACGCGTGCGCACCTCGCCCACCAAGAGCTTGTCGAGCGGCAGCGTCACGTTCCACGCCTTGTGCTGG